TTTTGGGAGCCTCTAGTCCATTTGTTTATCCAATCCATTTTTGAACTGCTGATACTGCCTGCCTCCTGTGGCAAAAAATCCAGCACTAATCTCATCTGAATCAAATTCATACTGGTCTCACTGAATGTCCCTTACCTCTGCTGTTGCAGGATTTAGGGGAAAACAGTTCTACGTGGACTTTATCCATCATCTTCCTGAGTCTATAAAGCTCATATATCTTTTCTGAGTCTCTTCCTCTCCAAAATCAAGTCTAAGCTTTCCTACTTTCTCTTTCTAAGGGAGATCCTCCATTTCCTTAATCATATTAGTTCTCTGAACCTTCATACTCCAGAAAGACACAGTGGAGTTAGATAAGACCAGAACTGCATACACCAGTTGAGACACATCAAAGGTGTGGGCAGCAGGAAAATTATATCCCCTATCTTATTCTTGATAGCCTTCTTGAATGACACCTAAGTTTTGCTGGCTTTTCCAGCTGCTGCACAATGAGCTGATGATTTCAGAGAAGTGCTATTTCATCCACATCACAGCTAGGTATCCAACTTGGATAACCCCAGTCACCAGGATCTTACACATACCTCCCATGACTTGTTTCTGTGAGGGTCATGTCTCATTTCTTCAGACAAAAAGGAAAGAGACGTCCATAATGGACCATCTCATACAAATGTCCAGGTCAGGGACAGCAGGCTAATGGAAAGTTTCTGCTTTGATCTTTTCTTTGACTGATTCTGCTTTGATCTTTTCTGTGACTGACTTTTCTGTGACTAATTAGTACGTCATTAGATGCTGAAATGCAAATATACAGTACGTACAGCTCTAAGCTTCACAGAACATTCAGGGTTATTTCAGAGCAGCCAGAAAACACAAACTAGAGAAATTTAGGTCTTGTATGTCTACATGCAGCTTTCTTACACATCACAAAGGGCTCCAAACTCACAACTTCCAAACTTTTACCCCATCTTCCTTGCCAAAGAATTATTGTACAACTTACAGGAAGATTGTGCCAAGAAAAAACAAAGCACATAAGAAAATGCACAGACAAAACATTCACAGGAAAACATTGAAGTTGAAGACAAACCAGCCACTTGACAAACCACTTCAACACCTTCAGAGACAGGAGAGAACTAGACTAGCTAGTACCAGATTAGCTAGTACCAACCCACAGCAGATGAATATCATTCTCAGTTAGAAAAGGCCTTGGCAGAAAGTAGAAGGGGAAGTGTTTCTTTAGAAAGGACTTGGGTCCTGTTACCTTCTTCTGGCGGTAGAGGATTTTCTCCAGCTCCTGCTCTTTGCTGCGCAGTTCCTTCTGGAGCAGGTTACTCCTGTCATGTCTCAGTGCTTCCTGCAGAGGTAAAGATACACAGCTGTGCATACAACACCCAGCATGGTAAGAGCTGTTCCTTGGCCAGATGAGCCACCACCTTTGCTTCAGACCACAGAAAGTTTGTCTTCAGCCAAGAGAGATGGGGTACCTGGCAAATCAGTCTCTCCCTTTCTGCTTTGATCTGTTGTTCCATTTCTTCATAAAGGCACCTGACTTCTCGGTCATGGTCTGTCTCCTTCCTACAAAAGGCACGGTGCACACAGGTCAGGAGAGAGAAAGAGAATACAGAAAGGAAACAGGAAAGGAGGGTGGGAACAGATTCCCACTAGCACCTGTGTGGCATTGAGGGGGATTTTAACCAGACCAAATGTTATGGGTGGGCATTGATGCAAAACAAACCCATGAGGATCAGATCAAGATAGAGAGTCATTTTATTACAGCAAGAAAAATCTCTGTGTCCTGTAACCCAGTCTCTCCTTGCATTTGAGGCAGCATCCAAGCATCAGCTGGTTCCGGACAGCACATGGCCATGATGTCCTCCTTACCGCTTCAATGCCTGTTCCATAGACTCCTTCTCGTGATTCACCTCCCTTACGTATGATGAAACACGCAACAGAAACTCTTCAAAATTGGATAAGAGCTCTGGACGCTCCTTTCGTAGGCGAGCCCAGAGCTCCCGAATCTCACGTGGGCTAGAGCAAGCATACAAGAGAGAAGGAAAGCAAATGAGTTTGTGTCAACTTATGGACTGTTATTTCAACTCTAACACGCATTTGGGACAGACAAACTGCCCTTCTCCCGTGGCAACCTCCGTTACACCATCACGGCAAAGAGGGAAGTTAGACAGTGACAGAGCGTGCATGTGGAGCAAGATCTGCTGTAAGGTAAAAATAAAGGAAGTCCTCTGAAAAAAGGAAAAGTCATCTAGGAAGCACACCTGGAACGATTATTTTTCCAAGTATTCAGCAATAACACATTTGGTGTCCAAAACAAGACTCAAAGAGATTAACGTTCAGCAAGTTCGCTGCGGGCTATGGTCAAGCAGCAAAGCATTGTAGCCCAGGGATTTTGGCACACATCACATAGGTGTTTTTCTCACACCAGGACTGTACTGGTGGATGCCACTGCCCTTCTTATTTATTTATTTTACAGGTTTGGAAACTGAGGCACAAAAAAAAGAAGCAAATTTGCCCACATATCACATCAGGATAATACTCGAGGAAGCCCTGTAAATAACAAAGTCTTCTTTTTTCCAAACCTGCAATAACGATAACGCTCTTTTGGCATTTAATTCATCACAACTTCAACTCAGCACTTATAAACTTACTCTTTCCTAAGAGTCTTATAAGCCTGCAGACACCACTTCATGCTTCTTTTTAGGGAAGAGCTTTCTATTTTTTTACTCTTTTTTTTAAATCCATGAAGTACTTTGGAGGAACTATCTTGAAATATACAGCATAATTATTCCTATAGACATTATCCAAATAGATTTTTTTTTTGTCTATGTATTTGTCTCCCTTAATATTCTTTGTGAAACAAACAAACAAACAAAAATCAAAAAACTCTTGATTCCCCCTGCCACCATTGCATAGTAGCCTTCTTTTTCTGTCCCAAGTTGAAAAATTTACTAGCACTTCATCAAAACTTCATGATTTAGATAAAAGAACTTACTGAGTCCCATTAATAAACAAACCCATTTCTTTCTAGCAAAAGTACCAAAGACAGTTCAGATTCCGGCTCTGACCCTAATTAGCTTCTGTTTTATATTACTTTTTTACAACAGCTGGCTTGGCACAAAGGCATGACATGAAGTAGCTACTGAGCTCACTGCATAAAACTGGAAGCAAGTCGTCAAAATAAAACACAGGATAATTCCACTCTAAGACCTGATGCTTCTCAAAGCAGAGTTATAAACAGCAGACTGTTTTTCCAGAACAGTAATATGGCCTTTCACAGCATCATCCCATTATTTGAAGCATAACAGCTTTCCAGATTTTTTCAGGACAGGAGAAGTTGTTTAGCATTAAAAGAAACATGCAGGTGCTTTGCATCACAATGCAAATAGGATCCAAAAAAATAATCTATTTTGTGACAGATGCACCTCTGAAAGCAGCAACCCCCTTCACTCTCAGCTTCTGTCTCCAATCCTGTCCTCCTCCTGCCCCTACCTGGGCTGCGCCCTGCAAACTGGCAACCCTGTTGGTCTGCGATACCTGAAAAAAAGGGCTGCCACAGGTGCAGTTGGGCACCCCAGCCAATGTGCATCAGTAAGACCCAGTTATGGATAATGTTTCACTTGGGAAGGCCCTAAAAAAGGTTGGATGACACTGGGGCCAGGAGACTCTACTGAGGCCACATGCAAGGGCATTAATATCAAGTTTCAAGGCTCAGGTGAGCATCCCTTGCCCAGTTTAGCCTTTCATAGAATCATAGAACGGTTTAGGTTGGAAGGGACCTTAAAGATCATCTAGTTCCAACCCTCCTGCCATGGGCAGGGACACCTTCGACTAGATCAGGTTGCTCAACACCTCATCCAACCTGCCCTTGAACAATTCCAGGGATGGGGCAGCCACAACTTCTCTAGGCAATCTGTTCCAGTGCCTCACCACCTCAGAGTGAAGAATTTCTTCATTAGATCTAATCTATATCTCCCCTCTTTCAGTTTAAAGCCATTGCCCCTTGTCCTATCGCTACATGCCCTTGTAAAAAAGATCGCATTCTTCAAGATGAGCCCAGACCCGAGCAGCCCCTTGAGCACAGATCTTTCACAAAGACTCTTAGAACTAAGAGTGGCTGAACATACGTGAACAGTCACACATCATTTTGGAACAGACAGCACACTCATCCTCCTTACCTTGTCTAACCCTCAAAAGCTTCTTTTCATTTGCTGCATGCGGATGGGCTTCCGTGCCACCAACTGTGATATTTTACAGCTGCGGTATGAACTCTAGTTTGGGAAACTTTGCGAAAAGAGCTGCACTAAAAGTAATTGGTAACTGATGAGAAAACCCAGACTCCACTGCATTTGTTACCAAGCATATGAAAACCGAAGACAGCAGTACAGAAAGCCCAAAGCAGTGCTTCAGAGAGCAAGCAGCTCAGTTCACCTCTTTGGTCTTTGCTGGTACTTTGAAGTTTTGGTATTGCAAGATGAAAACAGGGCAGAAGTAATGCCATGCGACTCCCCTACTTACTCTTCAAACATTTGGGCTGCTCCAAGCTGCTCCATCATGGAACAGAATCGTTTCTCTTCATCATCATCTGCTGTGTCCAAGTCATCTGACCAGCCTGACTCAAAGGTCTCTTCGTGTCTGGAGTGATCCATTCTCCCAGCCCCTTGGCACAATTCAATCTCTAATAACTTTCCTGGTGGAAGAAGAAGGGAAGAAGGAGAATAAAGAAAATCAAATTGGATGTCATTTAATAAGCTGCTATTTAAATGTCAGCCCAACAGAGCTCCATAAGAAGCTGCCTGCACGCTGCTGGTGTAGAATACAGCTCCTGGTCAGTAAAGAGCCTCTGTTCTGACATCCTAAGTGATGTCAGTGTCCAGTCTGCAATGCTCAGACTGAAACTGGCTCCACAGCCCAACAACAGGCTGTTAGGGCTCTGCTCACATCTGCACGAAGATGATCCACCACCCCCGGCCTTGGATTCTCAGCATGTGAAGCATGCAGCATTAGGTCACCACTTCACTCCCATGGAGCAGCACTGTAGGTTTATTTCCCAATGATCCCACAAACTCCCTCTGGGACCGCAAGCCCAGCACTGAACAACACCGTGCCTCCGTTCCCCAGCTTAAAAAAACCAAGGAGATCATTACCCCTCCCTTCTCACGCGCTACATCTGTTCTGATTCAACTGCTACAGGACAAGGACCGCCTTTTGCTAGGATTGTGTAGAGTGTCCAAACAAAATGAACTTACCCTCTGAGCACCTCTTCCTGCCCCATCCCATGTACAGTTGGCTTCCAGCTATATCTGGATCCTGTTTCGTGCTGAGATACTAATGCCATGAGAACTTCATTCTATGCAAGGCATGTGACAAATACTAGTGCTGGGAAAAAAATCATTCTCAAAGAAACAAATCAAGCAATCCTATCCAAAACACAGGCCCCCATCCTGTGTATAGAGGTCAGATCTCCATCAGCAGCTACTCTTCCTTTCCAAAACATATCTGCTTGGTTCAAAAGGCAGAAATGACATCCCAACTACAAGGTCAGGAGCCAAGGATATTCAGAGCACAGATGAGAACACAAAGATGCTCTGTGGGGAAAAATATCCACTATTTGTGCACCTCAAGTGACTTAACTGCACCACTTCTTCGCTCTGTATGTCCAGAATCTAGCCACTTCTTTCTCACTCTTAAAATGTGCTGTAAAAATACTTGCAGTGTGGAGATACGAGCCCTACTCAGCTTAAAGCCTGAGGCTCAGACAGTTAATTAAGGAGATGGGCTTAGACTAGGCACTTTGGATGTCTGCTTTAAGAAAAAGAGTCATTATGTTTTCATTATTCTTCTTTTACAGCTGGGAAAAGTGAAGTAGAGAATGATCTGAAGATTGTTTTGACATCCTAGAAGGATCTCAGATTGCTTTGAATTGAACAATTTAAATGTATGCTCTTTTGTCAGTTGTGCAGATGCACCCTGTAACCTCTCAGAGGCCAAGCAAGGAGCCCCTCTCAAGAAGCAGACTTGATTGCTGCTTGAACCACTTCTTGATTTCCCCCCTGCACACTCCAGAAGGAAGACAGGAACATGCCAGACCAAACTCTTGAGCTAGGGACAAAAGCTGGAAAGGACTTCAATGAAGCCAGACACAAAAAACGACCATAAAGAAGAGAAATGCAGAAATGAAGTGTTTTGCCTAGACTAGAGCAAGTCCCATGGAGCCAGGCTGCCAACACAGGGTGGTACTTGACACCTGGTGGCTACACAAAGAGAAATCTTTCCTACCTCTACCAGCAACGGCACTGAGGCAGGTAGCCACATGATGTCCATCTACGAATGCCTCAAATGATGAGATTTGGGAATAACCAAGCCATAACACAGAGGGCACTGTGGATGCCAAGGTGCCCATTCAGCTTCTACATAGTGCTGGGCAGGAAAGCCCACACTCCGGAGATGACTCCCTTGTTGGCTGGCTCTGCTGCCTTTGCCAGAAACAAGGTTTCACCCCACAGGCAGGGGCACCTGCATAGTCAGCAGCATTCAGTGGATTAACACATTCCCTGAACATGCTGGCTCAAGACACAGCTTTCTGTGTTTATTCAAGGAAATCTTTACAGCTTCTTCTTTCAGAGGTGGCTGTTTCTGGCCATTCAAATTGAAGCACCAAAAAGGCCCCACCTCTCCAAGTGGTGAGAAAGCCATGAGCAGCCACAACCTGAGCAATGAGGAAAGTGCAATTCAGAGCCTCCTCCATCACTTCTGAAAATCTCAGACCACCTGTATTCACTTGCTTTGACCTGATCCAGTTAACACCTCTACCTCTAACTTCCTCTACAAGGAAGGTGCTAACAGGGTGCAGATTTTCCCATCAGCTTTCAACCAGCAAAGGCAACCGAGCACCTACAGCAAAAGTTATTAGTCTCTCCTTCTTAACACCTCTTGCACTGCTTGTGCTGCTGGATGACGACCCTGGTATAGGATTAGCATTCTCCTAGTGTTTGGAAAAGACAATAGTAAGAGGAAAACAAAAGCTCATTTGCCAGTGTGCTAGCCTGCTAACAGGACTCCTACTAATATCCTTGAACAGCACTGCTACCAGCTGGAGATGGTTGCCAAGAGGCATATTTATGTCCCTTCATTCAATTAGGGTCCTTATCCAGATGCACAACTGTGGATCACATAGCCAGATACAGGCTGCAGCATGTACTATCTCCAGCAGGAGATGTTCAGAAGCTGGCTCTGTCAGGTAGGCAGGTAACAGTTGTGGATAACAGTATTGCACACACACCTTCACCAGTGATGTTCACATAAGCCTGAGGCATTGCCCTGCACAGCTGGTACAGCCTCAGCAGAACCACTGCTCACTCTTTCTTACCAAGATAAAACATCATGTCACAGGTAGGCTGCTTCCTTTCTCTGCCTCTGTGCAGCCCTTACCTAGTCCCATGCTGAACTCCACAGGCGTCAGGTATCCATTATTGTTCTGTTCCAAGCTGTCGAAAACAGTCTCCAGCTGCTCAAGGGTTAGGGGGAGTTCACTCTGGAGCCGCTGTGAAGACAAAGAGCAGAGAAAATGAAGGCATGACTCAAGCCTTCCCTGTGACTAGCTCCTGTCCCTACCATCCTCAGCTTTGGCCAACAGCAACGTGCCCTTTCAGCACTGCATCCTGGCCGGGATGTGACCGTCTGCCAGTACAGCTGAGCGATGACACCAATGCCTGTTTGGACCCACTGATACGGTGACCCTTTCCATTACTGGATGATTCAACCAGGACTGCAGAAAGGGAACTTTGGGTTATTTTGTTTTGGCAGGAGCTCAGCCCTCTTCCTCCTCCACTTCAGAACCACTGCCTCTAGTTCAGTGCCTCCCTCCACCCCTGCCCAAAGGCAGCTGCCCCCCGGGCACTGCCAGGCTCCTGTGACCACTGCCACTCCCGAGAGAGCTCTCTATGGGCACATCAGGTACTGGCTCCGTCTCTTCAGCCAGAGAGGGAGGACAGACTTGTGTGTGTCTGGATTCAGTTCCTGGCTCTTGCAGGAAATCTTGCAGATCATAGACAAAACGTTCAGTCCATAACGGAGAGTGAGCTTTCTTCTGTCATCTTCTGCCTGGTGGGACCGTATTGTTACTCTCAAAACGAGGACAATGAGCAGAGACATTTCCCTAAATAATACATGTGCAGAGCACCTAGTATGAAGGGGCATGCAAAGAAGCTTCCAAGTAACAAGAGGTGATCTTTAAGGTCCCCTCCAACCCTAACCATTCTATGATTCTGATTACTGTCTGCTTTCAATAAAAGCTTAATACATATTTATTAATGTAACTATACAAAATTAAGCATCACACAACCCAAATCAAAGTGAGCCAATAATTCAACCAGCGTGGACCTGCCAAGTGTTAATTATAAATGGAGGGAGAGATGGGACAGGAGAAAAATCGATTCACATGTAACCTTCCTGGTAAACCGTTAAAACAAAACTCACAAAGAACTACAGAGATTCTGTTAACAAATACTGTTTTGCACAGAAAGTAGCAAAACACATTATCCTAGAGCAAAGTTATAGTTCAGGCCTCAAGTGAGTTTTTGAGATTAGGCTTTAGCTATGATTGAGACAAAACCAGCCTTTTTTGTTAAGAGATTGGTGGATTTTTTTCGTTGTTTATGGGGTGGTTTTGGGGGGAATTGTTTTGTTTTTTTAAATTAAACCAAAGTTTTTTTCCCCCCCAGATTTCCCATCCACTGCATACTTAATGTTTGTAGGAACTGTTGGAAACTTATTTATTTAACCATTCCTTAAAAATTTGGAATTGCAGTCCCACTTGTCCAAGGAATTCCCTGGAGGTCCAAGGCCCTCCTGGGATTTTCAGTTCCTAGCAGCTGGCTGTAGAAGAGTTTGACTTCCAGAAATCTGAATGAGACAGAGCGCACACCCATACTAGCCAAAAGTAAAGACACACACACTTTCCCTTCTTCTGCCACCCATGACTTCACAGCTCCTCCAAGGAAAGGGGAAAGATTTTTCCCTCACCTGCATGTCCACCTTGGTGATAAAACCCTTCTCGTCCTTGTCACACAGCTGGAAGAGCTCCCTTGCCTTCTCAAGCATCTCCACCTGTACATCTTCCAGTTTGCTTTGGCTGGAAGGGGAAGCACCAGGAGCCACCCCATCCTCCTCATTCCCTTTCTCTTCTCTTTCCCAGCGTACGTATCCCAAGAGTGCTCCCCTCTGGTTCTCCATCTTCTCAAAGTCTTTTCCCCCAGCGCAGGGGCAAACAGAAGAGCTGTGGGGCAGGAAACAGAGAAACCCCAGTCAAACATGACCTTCCACTCCCACCCCATACATCATCTAGCTACATGCCTTGTTGGTTTGATAGAACAATATTCAGCATCTGCATCTGGACTAATGACCTTTAAAGGTCTCTTCCAACCCAAACTATTCTATGATTCTATGACCTGTTACTGAGGAGAGGAGGGGAAGAGAGGGAGTTTGAGTCAGAGGTACGCACCACACATAGGTACACACTGTACACAACATGAGTGTAACCAAGCCTACCACACAGCCGTAACCCTCCACACCGTGATGGCCTCAAGACCCTGCACTGAGCAAGGATGCTCTTTTGCCATCTCTCCTCCTTTGGCTCAGACCTACAGCGCAGTCAGAGTTCTTTGCTGTTGAAAGCCAGGTGCCAAGGGAAGGTTTCAACGGAGATGAGAGGAAGGGAATGTTAAAGCACTCCGGTAAATCTTCATGGAGGCACAGCAATACTGCCACATTAGCTGAGGCAGGAGGCTCAAACACCATGAGCCAGGCCAGCTCCCAGCTCTTGCACAACTCTCTGGATGCCCTGACCAGGATACTTCTCTCTAGTCTTGATTCCTCTGGTAATAGCACATGCTTTTCCTCCTCCTGTTGCTTCTCTGTGTCACCTTTGAACATCAAACCTTGCATTACAACTGTAAGAACCCAGAGCAGGACAAAGGCAGACAGGAGGAAGATCTGTGCAAGTGGTGGAGGAAAGAGAAGAAGGAATGTCTCTCCCAGTCGTCTCCCAGCCAGGTCCCCTGGCTGGCCTTCCACCTCTGACATTTTCTTGTTAATGTTTCCCAAATAGTAACTCCATCTCCTTTCATGTTATTACAGCACAAAGAAAGGTCAGACAGTTCCTACAGTGGGAAATACTCAATAAGCTGGGCACTCCTGCCCCCCTTGCCTTCCAGCCTCTGTTTTGAGAGCTCAGAAGCTGCCAAACAGAATTTTAATCTGAAATGTTCACCTTTATAGGAAGGAAACCACACGACTATGGAGGCATTTCAGAGGCCAAAGAAAATAATTCCCATTACTTACTAGAGCCTAAACCAAAAAGGCTAGGAATGAGAGCACCCCTTTAAGCACAGCAAAGACGTGTACAACACATCCCTACCCCAACCCACCTTCAGACTTACTGATGCCACGTAACACGCTCCAGACAGCTTTTCTTCAGCAGCACCACCACATTTTTTAAGCCTTGTTGCACCGATTGCTTTAGATTTCTCCTTCTGCAGATCTGTGTTCTGCATTGCAGGGCAGAAGTGAGCTGTGCAAGCAGGCTGAGAGCAGATTTAAACAGTGCTTGACAAAGAGAGCTTGAGGGTTAGTTTTGTTTTTTTTTTTAATCTCCAAGAATTTAAAAGCCACGTACAGATGCTGTGATAACAAACAAGTTAATTCTGTTTACACTCTTAGTACAATGGGAGGATAAAGAGCATGATGGCCAGGAAGAATGTCACATGCGAGAACTATATGAAGCTGACACAAAAGGAGAAGGCAATTATGTACCACGCTATTTGACTCCATTTATTACTGCTGGTTTGTGAGCCAGAGGGTGGTTCTGCTTCAAAGAACAAGCAGAGCGCTTCACTCCCCCTTTCAAATCAGAGTTTTTTCAGGGCATCTCCATTTAGTGTCTCTTGAGAAGATATTTATTTGAAACTCTGCAGAAGACTACCTAAAAATGGGTACTATTATATGTTTCTAGTCAAGCAGACATCCCTGGTAAGCAATGGATGCAGGGCTGGACTGAAGCTTTAGGGAATACTGCAGAGGAAAGGAGGGAAGAAAGCATAAAAAGCGAGAAGACAGGGGGTGGCTTTCTCTCTTGCTCTCTTTCAAACAAACCATCCTAGCAAGCTTTTTTTTTTGTGTTATGGAGCCAACACACCAAAATTTGGAATCTAAAGGTTGATTCTACCCATTAGCTGGACAGTCAGCTTGCTTCTGATTGCAGGTCTGTATGTGTTGGTAGTAAAGAAGTTGGAAAGAACCCCAGCTTACTTTTCACATTCAAGTAAAAATTGCAAAGCTGGCCTTGAAAGAAAAAAAAAAAAAATCTTAACGCTACATAGATTTTACAGGTGATTATGGTGAGGAATCACATAGCCACACTGATGAATGATAATTGTTGGCTGCTACAGGCCACCTTGCTGAAGCTTTCTGCCAGACCCATTCCTTCCACGAAGACACGGTCTCTGCACAAGCAGCGCCCTGTACCAGAGCGTGAGTGCAGATGGCAGCAGAGAAAGAAATTAAATAGGAGTTCAAAGCAAGAGCCATGACAGGATTGCAGAAAATAGCCAGAATAAGAAAAAGTGCAAATAAGAATTATGTTTTCTGAAACATCCCTCTAGCTGCCTAAGAGACACTGAGGCCCTCAAAAGTAAAGAAGATCTTACTTTCTTGTTATCAGCTTCATCATTTCTATTTCAAAAGCCAGAGCAGCCCACGCAGACATCATCTCCCCAGCTCTGCAGCAGCAAACAAGAGGTTGTACAAGGAGGATGTTCTGTTCTCTCTCTGAGACATATTTGCAAGCTGAAATCAGACTCATCACATCCGTACCTCTACCATCTCCTCATTTTATCAAAAGCCCAGCTGTACCGTAGCTCCCGAACACTGGCTGAGCTAAAAGCTTTTTAATTAGAAGAGCTGAGAGCCTGACATGGACAAGAGTCCAAAAGGATTCCGCTCACATGTAAAAGACCAAGCCCATTAATTCAATGTTCAGAGTGCAGAGTCTCTTGTTCAAGCTGCTTCAAGTGGCTTCAAGCCAGATGTGACTCCTTCAGGAACAAAACGGCAAATAAGAGAGACTCAGTAAGCAAAATACACTGCAGATCTGATGGACTTCTCTCCCAGAGGCCTTTGACCAAGAAGCTCTTCGTCTCCATCCCCATTTGTAAGGGCATTGCATGGTATAAATGCAGATGAGGCACAAACCAGATCTCACTCTAACAAGTGTCATACCTTCATACCAGTCATACCTTCCCCAGTTACAGATCATCACTGCAAAATCCTGGGGAAGTAGCTTCATCAGCAAGATGCAGAACATCACTGAAGGACAGCTTTGAACAGAGTATGAAGTCACTAGAGTACTGAAAATGTGCATTGGTACCCAAAAGTGAGGCTAGCAGAGCTGGCTTGGGTGCAGAAAGATCAGCTTGGGAAGAGCTATACTTGCCTGACACAGTGGAGAAGGCAGAGCAGACAGGTACAGGCAGCTAATGCTTTCGGTCAGACAAACCCGTCAGGCTCCCCCAGCGAGATGTAGCCAAGCCACCTGCAGTGACAAAGCCAGGGGTTGTTACCGGAACTTCCTGACAGGATTAATTTTTACTGGTCTCTTCTGGCAGGACAAGGTAGTCATTGCGTCAGCACCAGTTAAGAATTAATTTCCACACCTAGCCTGGAGTCAGGACAATCTCTGGCTGTTATATTTCCATCATAAGAACATCTGCAATGGGTCACTGCAGAGTTCATCTAGCCCAGCATCTTGCCCTCAATGGTGGCCATGAATGGCTGGTGAGGGAAGAGTAACAGCGGGGCAAGCTGGCTTCCCTGGCAAGAAGGCTTGCCTGCAGGTTTTTTAGCCACTGTCAGCCTGGAGCAACTCCTGACCCACATGGTTCCTCCATCGTCTTCCAAGACACTTGTCCAGCCTTCCTTTGAATCTATATGAAAATATTCACTGTTCACATGAACATGCTGATAGAAACAGCTGCAATCAGTGAGTGCTGACAAAGCTTCAGAAGACTATTCCAGTTTTCTGGGTACATGGCTTGACCAGCACCCACCCCACAGAAGACGGAGTTCCAGCTTCAGCTCAAACAAGTGTTTTCTGCCACCTTCACATCTGGGAACCGTGGCAGAGACCAGCAACTTCTCTCCCAGGGCCTGGGAGATGGAGCAGGAAGATGGAAGTACAAGGGACATGAGGGCACCAACGGGCTCCAGTCGCCCTGGCCAGCCTCAGTGTGTAATGTTCTTCTGCAGTCCTCTTTTTTTTTTGACTGCCTGTGCTCAAGGTCAGCTCTGATATCGCCCAGTCCAGATTTGGGCAGTGTCCAACATCTGAACAACCTGATACAGAGCTTGAGAGAAAGCCAGTCCTTAGGACCTGCGGATCACACCAAGTATCTCCTGCCATGGTGTGTGCTGGGGCCCAGCAAGCAAAAATTCAACTGCTCCTGCAAGGCAACTTCCCCTGAGCCTGGAAAGCAAACATAGATCTTCTCAGACTCAGGACAAAATGGGAAATTTGACTGCCAGTAAAGACAGTTAACACCGGATCTTGTATTTCTACATAGGAGTAACTCAGACCAGTCTTACGTGTGTATTTTAACCACTTGAGGCATAAACTGCAGTTTGTCCTGTGGAAAGCTATGCCAGAAAGGCAGCTGGATCCCATGGGCATGGCGTTCTTTGGGGAAATCATAAAACCTGAATTTTAATCCTGACTCAGCTTGCCATATGGCCCTGGGTAAGTCACATCACCTGCCTATGCTTAGAGATTGTCAGCTCCTCCGATTTGGTTCTGATGCTTGTGACAGCTGGCACTTTATTTTAAGACTCAGTTCCTGAAGACTGATAATTACATGTGAAACTCAAGCATCAAAATAGTTTCAAAGCCCTGAAGCTGAATAATGAAAGACTTGAACACAGAACTTGGAGAAACTGGAGATTTCAACAAACGGAAGAACAGATCCAAGGTGTTTTTCCTGGAAAGGGGAGACACTACTCTCAAGGTAGTGTTACAAGGTCATGGTTTCCAATTTATTGTCTCGGAAAGCTTCTTGTTGTAGCAGTAAGCAGTGTTAAAGAGGTAAAGAAAAGTCACAGCTAAAGTGCTATCAACAGCCAAGCCCTTATCTATGTGACCATGACCACCGTGTGCACATGACAACTTTGATGTTTTGGTTTTTGTGGTTGTGTTTTTTTTTTTCCACAGCCCGATGACAAGG